ACCAAGTGGAATTCTCTCTTAAAAAATGTTAAATGCTACTTTTGTTAAATGCGTTCAATGGTTGATTTTCCGAAAGAATATTCAACGAAATTAAAAAAAAAACGCCATTTTTCTATTTAATTGGAATGAATAATGAGTTGGAACCAATAAATGAAAAAAAAAATTTTTACTGCCTGGTACAAATAAATACTTGAAACATAAATAAGCCTAAAAACCTAATCCATTAATCATTGTAGTCCTGATACTAATCCAACTAGAATAACCCAATAAGTGAAATACTTATCTGAACTAATTGTATAATAGTGATAAGTTGGTTATTTAGTCCGTGTTGCCGATTTGAAATTTTATATATATATATATATATATATTTGATAAATTAATTATTGTGAAAAATGGAATAAGCTTTTTAAAAAAATTTATCACTTTTTTAATTTTAACTAAATTCAAATAAATAAAAGTATTTAGTTTTCTGCAAATATGTTAAGTTTACTGATTAAAATATTTGGTGAACAGAACACCAACGTTAATATAAAAATTATCATGTTTGCAACCCTTCACTCAAAAAAGTTGTGCACCCCTAGTCTAAGAGGACATCAACCCTATTGTACAGTTTCTTCCAGAGTAAAATAGGTTTCTTTCCGATAAAATTGTGTTTACAAATTACTGAATGGAAATTTTTTTTTCAGGTGGGCTGAAACAAACTATAAGCTATGCAAAACTTAAAGATTGACCCCTGGTAGTAGTTCAACAATGAGATAAAATAAGTACTCTATAGACGATAAAAATTGAGATTTGATTTGATCTAGCTACATTAAAAATCACAGATATTTATGAAGCAAATTGTGGGAATCTCAGAGGATGATGTGCTTTTGTATGAACACTTAAAAGAGAGAACAGTTAAAATTCAATTCCACTAACAGTTAAAAAATAAACATTCATTTATTAACTGTGCCCATCTAAACCATGTAGTTTGTAATATAGATCTACGACATTCATAAACTATTCTCAGCTATTTAAGAAGTTCAACACTGTAAATTTTAAAAAAATTTAATTTATACGAGGTGCCGGCATTAATTTCCAGGGGAACCTCCATTAAAAATCATCAAAGGTTTCCCCCAAAGGATATGAGAGTGTCAGGTTGGACACGAATTTTATAAGTTACATCTAAACCGTAATAGACTTGTTGATTCTTCTGGCTGCATTTTGTCTAAGGAACATTGGTTGATATAAATGGTCTCTAAGAGACCCTCACTTTTTTCTATTTCAAGACACCAAGTTGAGCAAAAGGCTGAGCGAAAGTTTTACGGACAAAATATATTGTATTCCTCAAAGCACAAAAAGTCTTATTCTTAAATTTTATAGCATTTTTAATAATCTTTACAGAATTGTGGTTTCAATATAGATATAAAGAAATTTATGAAAGTGTCTCTTTATCGCAATTTAACGAAAGTTTCGCAATTTAAATTTTAACTTGTGAAAATCGGCGGATTTCTTGTCGAATTTCGATTCGTGGACTTCCGCAAATCAATAGTCTTGAGATACACAGAATTACGAGAAATGCGTGGAAGCCCTGCTCCTAGTTTTTAAACCTGGAAGAATCATACGAAAATCCCAGAACAACCCTGAGTGTGAGCTTCGACTTTTTTGCATTTTCAATATTTTTGATTATCGATTTCACCAGAGAATACATTTCAACACTATTTTCTTTCATGAAAAGCAAAAAAAAGCAGATAAAATCTTGCTTCATGTATATCATAAAATTATACACATTTTTTCATATATATTTTTGTCATTTGTTTTAATACCACTAGTATGAAAATAAATGCTTAGCAGAGTAATAATCAAGGAATAGTAAGGGCAAATTCAACTTGCTTTTTTTATTGCTTCAAACGGACTAATAATATTTTTTTTAAATATCTTAGTTATTTTTAGGTAAGTATAAAAAGAAGGGGCCTAGCAGTAAATGTGCATAACAGATCAGTTGATCGCATGTTTGACTTTGCAAAGATATTACTGCATTTAAGTGAAAAGTAAGAATAACTAAGAAACTTTATCAAAGGGAGATTCCATTATAATATTTACACACACTAAATGCAATGCATATAACTTCAGAAAAAAATTGAGCAGTTTCAATATTTTTCATTAAAATAACGCTAGGTATGACTGCAAATACTTTAAGAAATTGAAATTTGAAATGATTTAATATATTGCATAATATAATTCAATTTAATATTTTTAACAGAACGTTTTAATTTGTTTTACTGATGAAAATAAATAGAAATTTTAGCAAATATAAATAATGCCCAAGATCTATTTTAACCAAAACTAGTAAAATTGTTTCACTTTTTTTTAAATCTAAAGCTATAAAATATTTGACAATGTTGTGTCTCTAATAATGGAATTGTCTCAATACATAGTACAAATTATCAGGAATGAAACATCTTAAATAGCAGAGAACTTTTTATAATTTTTTTTTAATTTTAAAAGTAGAAAGAGATAATCTAAACTTTCGTTAAGGTCTCTCTTTCACCTATGGTACCTTTTTCGTCACACTGTTTTTCGGATTCCAGTAATTCGGTGGGTGAGCAAATCTCAGTTGTGATGGGTATCTTTAAACCCACATGTGTAGTTATTATCCTTAAAATAATAATAAACATTGCGCATAAAGAGACGCAAGTTATTGTGGCATAAAAAAGAAACTCGGGTTTAGTGTTTACAAATTGGCTGATTGTCAGCGGTGCGACCATTTCACCCACAGACGCAGCGACAACAAAGTAGGAGCCGATTTTATTGTCGATATTTACGTACTGCTCGACCCAAGTGATAGTAGAAGGGTAGAATGAGGCAAATCCGACACCCAACGCCCCCGTCCCAATCCACAAAAAGGTTTCATAAGTATTTCCGAACAAAACTAATAGTGTCGCTGCAAAGAACATGAGGGAACAGTCACAAGCAATTATCACAAAAGGGCTGAATTTCACAGCTAGAACTATAGATATACCACGCGCAAAAGTAAATGTCCCCCAGAAAACGGAAGTGAAATAGGAAGCTAAAGACTCTGTAAACTTGTGAGTGCTCCTCACGGCATAAATTGCTATCATCTGCCCGAATCCAATTTCGAGTCCGCAATACACACAAATCAACAAAAAGGCACAGAGAAGAATGGATATTTTAAAACGCACTTTTGGATCTTTGTATTTCTGCATTTCATCAGAAGAATTAAGTTTTACAGAAGTTAGAAACAAAAACATAAACATCAAAGATACAAACAACGAAATAGCACCAATTATACTGTAAATGTAAATAACGTTTGCCTTCTCGTAGTCGGAGAAGTCTAGAGGAGAAGAAGATTGGTTGAATGAGGAAAGAGTGGAGTTCAGGTCGTTGTGGTCGTTATGGGAGAGGAAGGGAGCTGCTATGATGGGGGCAACAAAAGCTCCAAGTCCAAAGAAAAAATGAAGAGCTTGGAAGAAAGGACTGCTTTCATCATTCCAGAGATCTAAGCACCAAACATTCAAACCTAAAAAGAAATAATCCAAGTAAAATGCATTAAAGGTTCAGAATTAGTTTTTTTTAAAGGGATTTTTAATGATATTTTTTAAGCATTTCCGGGATTTTTCAAAATTTCAGAGACTTCAATGGATTTTTAAAGATTTCTTGATTCTAATGATAGAGATAACAAAAATTATGGATTTAAAGATCAACAGAAGATCAACAAAGCCAAACGGAGCATCTCACAGACGTGATCTATCTAATGTAAAAACTCTACTACAATAGATAACAGATATATACCAGTGTTCTCCCTATGTATTTTTTGAAGCACGGCCCTTTGATCTTAATAAATGTGACCTTTTGGTAAAAGTAAGCAGCAATCCCTTAAAGAAACTGTTTTTTTTTACTCAGATTCCATTTTGAAAAAAATTATTCATAGTTTTTAAATAATAATTCCACACTGGTAAAAGTATCTGTATTTATCGGTATAATTCTGATTACTATGTATTACCAATATTTACATTGTTGGGATTGTATTTTATTTTTCAAGGGAGGTGGATATTAATAATTTAAGTAATTTTAAATCGTAAAACTAATTTTTTAAATAAAACCCTTTTTTTTTAAAAAAAAAATGCATCTTTAAATGTTTATTTCCTAATAATTTTTGGTCTAAGTTATAGAGGAAAGCTTAAAAGTTGTTTATCAATTAATCATTTTTTGCTAATTTACTTTTTTTGAAGAAAAAAAATTGCATAATGTTTGCCTTTTAGCATGCCTTTAATTACTTTCATAAACTGCAAATTTTTTTCTTATTTTGATAATCAAAGAAAATTACTTGAGGAAATACACTCATAAAATAGTATGAGAGGATAATTTAAAAATTGTTGAGCATAAAAATCAGTTATTACAAAATTTGATAAATATTTAAGACGTCAAATGAGTGCTCTTTCAAAACTCAAAGCGCCCTGCCCTTTTTTTAAATTTATTTCTTATATTTATTCCTTTATATATATATATGCATATATGAACCCCTACGATTACCTTACTTGATGTTTTTTATAGCCTAAAAGCCATTTTGTAAGGTGCATTAAAAAAAGTTAAATAACTCAAAACTGATAATAAAACATATTTGTGACCTAAATGAGTCAAAGCACTTTAAATTTTTTACCATTGACTTTGACTGTTTAGACCTAGTCTAATACAAACACGAAAGGAAATAAATAAAAAAAATGATTCCCTACCAGTATCTAATGCTCCCATTGCGCAACCACTAAAAGCCATTATTCCAACCAATAAAAGAAGATCATCGCTCCATGGTATGGCTGCCGTACACACTGACATAATAAAGCTGAACAAAAACATCAGAAGTTGAGGTTTTTGTAAACGATCCAACAGAACACCACCTGAAAAATAGAAAACATTATTCAAGTATGTACTTTATATTCAGGTTGACTAAAATCGCAATAAGAAAACAGACTTCTTTTTTTTTCATTCAAATAATGTTTATGTAATTTTCTTTCATTTTACCAAATCTATGATTAGAAATGCCTAAAATTATCTAAAAACAATGTTTCAATTAAAATATTTAACATTTCTAATTCAAACGATTAATATTGTAACATTATTGAAAACATATCACTGAATTAAAAGAAAATTCTTGTTGTTTTTATACAAGCAGTTCAACACTTTCATGAATTTGTAGAAACAAATGGATGGTTGACCGTGTAAAAGTAAGCAGAGATGGCACTAGAGGATAAAACTCATTGTAATCTACTTCTGATTGATTTTTACGTCTGAGCATGAAACAGCGCACCATTGAATATTGTTATACTTGTAATATTTAGAAAATAACGCGTCCTTTACCTTTAAATTTTGTAGTCCGTGGATCGAGATTCAGACAGAAAGTAAAGGTTTATTAACAAAAAGCAAACAAACACATACAAATTTAAAAAGAACGCCATCTGGCGGTATAAAAAGAAAAAGACTTCGTAGCTATCCTTCCCAGGGAATGACAACAAATTTCCATTAAACAAATGAACTCTGAAGACTCCACGAGCACGCTATCTAAAAAATAACACTATTTTACACTAATATAGCCAAATAAGGTATAACAGTCAAAAAATGTCAAACCTTACCTTTTATTTATGCTGTGATATTAATTTTGTTAAATATATTTTAGACTCACAACCTGCTAGAATTGATAAATTGTAAGAAACTCTTATGAATGGTAAAATGATGTGTAAATTTAAACACAAATCACAATAATTAAACTTCCTAGAATATTAAGTGTGTATTAAATACACATTGTCTCGTAAACATAACACGAGTGGAGGGATACGTCGGAAGTTTTTCTAAATTTCTTACGGTTTTAGGAAGTTTGTTATTGTTCACATCCAGTCAACCATCCATACTCAATTTATAAGTTAGATTTCAAATGAAATTTAAATGAACTCAACAACAAACAAACAAATTTTAAAAGACCTTGTGTTTAATTTCACTAAACATAAAACTAAATAGATATAATTGAAAGATTGATGTACATGAAACAGCAAATTATTTCGATCATTTGCTTCTTTTTTTTTTTTAAACTAATGGCAAATTATAATTTAAAAGTTCTAAAATCCTCATCGATCACTTTATTTTGTCTACTTAAAAGACTAAATAATAACTTAGGCATTACTTCTCTATATAAAAATTTCAGAAAATATTTTCGACTTTAATTTATAAACTTTATAAAAAAAATCAACTGATTTTGAAAAGAAAATGGACTGATTTTAATCACATTAAAATCATGATTTAAATCAAATGATAATGAAAATAATTATGTGACTTAAATTACTCCATTTAAATCACGTAGTGATTTGACAAGACAAAAATCAACTGATTCAATTATTGATTCAATTATTGATTTAATCTCTTTTTATACTTACTGTGAAAAGCTAACATGTTATGAGTACAAAATTCTTAATGTTTTTAAAAGCAGGTTCAGTTTCTTTTTTTAATTTGAGATAAGGCATGTAAGGAGACAGTGATGACAGATAACGTTTTCAAATTATGAGAATAAAAAAAATTTCCTAATTAGTTTAATTTAAATAATAATTTCAAAGTCAACATTATAATTTAAAATCAATATCTCTAAAGGGTTGAACAGCTTAAAACAACATTCTTAGATAAAAAAAAGCTTTTTTTTAAAAAAAAAAATCAGCTTTTAGTTCTAATTTATTTACCAAAGAAGGATCCAAGAAGATATCCGATAGAACGACCGATATATACTTTTGAAATTTCATTCGTTTCAGAATGAACATTTCGTTGCAGATCAAGCAATGTAGGTCCTGGTATGGCCGTACACATACCCTAAAAGAAAAAAGATTTAAATAACTTTAAAGCAATAAGAATTTTAAGGTTTCAGAACGATTTTTTAAATGTATATTTTTAAAAGACATTTGTGTGAAACTGATTGTGAAGAAAAACCAACAATCAGTTGAAGAAAAATATATATTAACCTTTACCTGTTAGATTAATGAGTTGGACTTATTTGCACAATTACACTTCAGAAAAAATAACATTGAGAAGAACCATGTCTATGATTGGTGATTCGATTCTTAAAATTATCTGAAACCATATGGACATACAATGCCATCTTCTGGCAAAAATTTTATTTTTTAAAACGTTCCAGAACACTGGCACTAATGGGTGACGGCCGGGGGGTGAATGAGAATACGCTTTTGCACGCCGGCATGTCGGCCGAGAACTGAGCGTGTTTCTTGCTGGCACGTACCGGTGACAGTTGGCGCGAAAAAGTTAGGTAATAAATAAATACTAGGAGGCTTCTCCCCCTGCTCGCCAACCCTCGGAACTGCTTTCGCAGTTCATTTCGGATTGCTTTGCAATCCGATGCTCGCTTAACTCGCTCATTGGATATGTTCTTTACGTCTAGCTTTTGTATACTTTTTTGAACACTGAAGCTCCGAAAACTTTTCACTGTAGAAAATTCTAAACCTGTGCATTTCAATATTAATTTGAAATTGCAAACAGTTCACATATTTTTCTTAATCACACTATTCTAAATTTCAGTTGTTGAGAAAAGTGACAGTTGCAAGTTTTGTTTTAAAGTCTTTCCCACCAGAGAGCTAAAACCATGTGTTGTAAAACAATATGAAATACAGTGTAAAGTCGCGTATCCGGAATCGGTGGAACTTCCAGAAGTCCGTATAATAGATTTTTCCGTATAATAGACCCCCAAGGTAAACAAAGCTTAAAATGATTTAATAAACGATCTGAATCTAAGAAGCAAAAAATAAATAAACATTATTTTTAAGGGGAATAATGTTTTAGTATTAGAATATCTAATCAATAAAATATGAAATATTAGAAAAAAAATATTATTGCTTAAAATATAGAAAACGAAAAAAAATTGACATATGAAAATAATAATCCGCCATTTTTAACTAGAATGATTCAAGCAAGAAAGGGAAATTCCCGTCATTCATTAAGGTGGGTAGGTGGAGGAGAAAAATTCATTTCCTCCTTATTTGTGAAAGAAAATAAGTGTAAAGAGGAGATCATTTAAGTTGAGGGTGGGGAAGTAACAAATTATTGTTTTCTCTCCAATCATTGGCTATCAATCAAGCATAAAGGCGGGGCTCGCTGATCGGGTTCTCTTTATTTTTTCTTCCATGACTGAAGGAATCTGCTAAAGAAAGAACATTACCCCCTTTTTCCCCCAGCCTCCTAAATATTACATGGTATGGGGAAGAACGAATTTTAGACCTATTCAAATTTTCCATTTTGACTCCCCCTCCACCTTAACGTTTGCCCTGTTTACCCTTTTCCACAGTATTTCTTCTTTCAGTAGAAAGGTTCCAGGAAATGCCTCCTTTACTAGCCACCTGCATGGGAAAGGAGGGGGGGAGGGAACTCAGTTGCGGTCTTTTGAAAACAAATCTCCCTCTTTTTCCTACATTCCAAGGGAGGAGCGTCACTAACGGTCACTCAATGGTCTTGATAGATCTTCACTTCCCCTTTCTGGTGATTTATGGCTTTTTTTTTTTTTAGGAAAGGGGAAGATGGAGAGATGTTTGTTTATTTTGATTGTTAAAACCCTTCCGGGAAAGGGACGTCCGGATATGGGACGTTACACTGTAGTACTGAATGCCGGATGTAAAGCATCGGCTTCGATGAAGATAATTTTGTGAGAAATGTTTTGATAATTTGGTGAGAATTCACCCGATTAGACATATGATTCACACTATGTGTTCTTGCGCGCCGAAGCCTATCGATTAAAACGTATTAGCGTTTTATATAATGTAGATTAGCCATATGATGCTCACTACGTGCTCTTGCGCGCCGAAGCCCATCAATTAAAAATGAAAACTGTTGCCAACGGGAGAAAAGAAATATCATCGGTTTTATTGATACATACGTATTAGCGTTTTATATAATATATACAATAATCTATTTTATCTTATATAATGTTAGAATAATATAAGCAGACTTAGACAAAATTTTCTGCAAGCAGTTTATTGACTCTTAATTGGTATCCCCCCTTTCATTCACCTAATTTTGGAAATTTGCTCAAAAATTGCAGATTTCTTGTCGCAGACACAAAAAACGAAACAATGTTTCGTGAGCAGATGTTTCATTGCAAATGTGGTTCCATAAATTCTTCAGAACTAAAGCAGCATTTCATTTTTTGCCAAAAACTCAGGTAATTGTTCATTATTTAAATCATTTCTGAAAAAAAAAAACTGAACTTTGAAAAGCATGTATTCTGGCCAGATCACATAGCATAAAAAGTTGTATCTAAAGTTTATGCTTACAATACTGTGACATCACCAAAAATTAATAAGTTGCACTATGCTAAAATGACAACTAAATGCCGAAAAAGAACACTCTATGCCCAGAAGAAAAACCAATTGCCTTATTGTTCAATTCTTGATGGCTGGAAGTCAAATGCAATGAAGTAATCATAACAAAAAGGTGGGTGCATGAATGAGAGGAAAAATTTCTTTTCATCAGTCTCTGCCAAATTGATTTTAACTATTTTTTTTTTTAAGTGATTAATGCTAAAAAAGTTTCTGTGATGACGAAAATATTGATTGCAAGGTAGAACAAGGGAACTCCATGATATAAAGGACAACATAAAAAAAAATTTATAAATAAAAAATTAAATAGCATCACTCCATTAAAAAATCTAAGTTTTTAATTAACTATTTTAAATATTAAATCAAAAATTGTAGTTTTAAATTATTTTGTAATAATAATGAAAAAAAAAAGTTTTTTTTAAAATTTCAATAGTTTGTATTTGTAACATCAATCAAATAGTAATTGAAACATCAGTCAAATAAACTTTTTCTCAGCTTGCACTTTTCTATGATTCTGTGTATCACATTATGTGCACTTTCAATGTTTCTGGTAAAATTAAAATTTATCTTTAAATAAATTTAAAATTAAATTTAAGAAAATAATTGCTTATAGAAGTAAGGGAATTTAAAAATAAAAAAATATTTTACTCCATGTCCTTTCAATGTTGCAGCAGTCAAATTTTATATATTTCATTTAAATAACACATTTATAAATTTCAATATTAGGCTATTGGAAAACATCTTATATAAATTTTAAAAACAAATATTAAATATTTATTAATGAAAAAAAAAGTTTAAAAATCAGAAAAGCTATCAAAATATTACATCAGTCAACATAGAACAATAGAAGAATATTAATTTTTTTGAGTAATACTACAGAATAAAAATGATTTTTGTAAAAAGACTTACTAAACAGATCATAGATAAATATATCAACACAGTTCTTAACTGCCGTAGAAGTAGACTGGATATTTCACACATGATTCTAGAAGAAAGAATAATGAACACACAATTATAAAAAATAAATCATCAAATGAAATAGGCTATCTAACTCTTTAAGCAGTTTAAATAAGGTGATTTAATGTTATGCTATAACTAAGTTTGTTATTAAAATTATAATGTTGTATGAACTAATATTTCTATTCTGCATATCGATGAATTAATAATTATAACTGAATCATAGTAAATCATACCAATCGGTCCTTTTGTTAGATGAATATGATTAGTCAATGCAATAAAGATAAATTTAACATTTATTTTTTTACTTATGTAACCAAAATAACCATTCTACCAAGTTAAACAACTGATTAATGTAATAATGTAGGGGATATTTCGTATCATGAAATCATTCCATTATGTATAGGTCATAAAAAGTTTATTATGCATATCAACACAAAGAAAGAAAATCTTTTAACTGCAGCTAATGTAAAAACTTAAACATTCTGAATGTTTTATACAACTACTACTCTTCCTAAAAAATTATAACTGAAAAGGTACAAATTTTTATTTCATGAAGATATTTTTAACGCAAATCCAAACTAAATATATTTATAAATCTTTTAAAAGCTTGAAAGAAAGAACAAATTGATTAAAAATTATTTCATAATTTAACATTATCAACTGAAACTTGAATCAACTGATGCTTAGAAAATGAAATTTCATTGCTAAACTCAATTTATTCTGCCATAAAATAAATACACTATATTACTTTTTGGTAAAAGAAAGCAATTACAGTTTTAAAAGAAAACTTCTTAGAATGACAAGTCCATTGACCGGTATTTGGGTTTCCGAAGAACAAACGAAATTTTGTATGCTTAAGATTTTATTTAGCATTTAGCTTTCAAAGAACTAAAATGTAATGTGAACTGTAATGCAGAATAAATTTTTCTGACTTTTGAGTTCATGTCATTGTTTGAAATACTAAGTATTCTATCTATTTACGAACGCAATTTTCAAAACTAAAAGACAAGCTGTTTTTTAACAAATATATCAATAATATCAATTTTTGATGATTGATACTGTTAAACAGCCGCAATAAACAAAGAATGTTTTTATGGAATGAAAAGAATGGAATGAAATGTCCAATTTTAGTTCAAACTTAGTTGTTAAGCAAATAAATCTCTAAAAACTTAATGCTACGAAAGAACTAAGAATGTATTCTGTTGTGATTGATGTACACCGAAACATTTTATCAGCTCAATGCTCTGTTAAATGTAATCTTCAGAATACGGAGATAAATTATATAAAAGTTACGTGCACAAAAACTCATTTATCCGTTCAATTTTGTAATAGTTGTCAACTACTCCATGATGTTAAGATTTTAACACCCGAAAATTTTTTAATTCCGTCATCAGTGTTGGTACATGATAATTTGTTTAAGGAAATTGACCTAAACAATGACATTTTAACTATTTCTCGATACTGTCATAATTCAGATCTTACAATAACCAATGGGCTTCTCGAAATTGATTCATCACAAAATAGTGCAGAAAAGATTAGTAACCGTGATTGTGAAAAACATGTTGATGTTATAACTAACCAAGTGGAAATCAATTTTCGGATACAAATTTCAAGTGGGGAATTAATTCCAGAAAGTGTGAAAGAAAGCGCATCAGAGTCCCATACATTACAAGACTTCTTCAAATCAAAAATAAAGTGTCACGAAACGTATCGAGTCATTTGCGTAAATTGTGATAATCCGTTATCAACCTGCCCTGAAACTTTTAACAGTGTTCAGGAATATTGTGACAGTTTTTCAGATTTGTCAGAGAGTTGGTTTTGTCATAAGAAAGTGACTCCCAAACACGGTCTTCAAAAGAATACATTGTACGTGAGTGAAACTTGTATTTATCTGCATTCCAGTCTTTTTGATACATTCTTGATTGATACTTGCGATGAAGAAATAAAATGCAAGACTTGCAGCTCCGTTCTGTCACGTGGTGGCAAAAAGGATGACCTGAGGCCATTCTATGTAGACGCTGTTGCATTGAAAAAGACTGATTCAAAACCTTTTAATTCAGAGAAATATTATCATAAAATGGTCCTTTTATCTTTGTGGACTATTATTAGTCAAAAGTCCTATACGTGCCGAATATTATTTCAATCAAAAGTAAGTGTTGTTGGATCCAGCAACTTTTGACACATTCTGTTTTGTGACTAAATTCTCATTATTTTTACCTATGTTGTTACAGATGGTTGACTGAATGCAAACGAAATTTAGAAAACCACCAGTGCAGGGGTGATTGCGAGCCCCAGTCAAAATTCCGGAAAATTTCTTGAGTAAAAAAAATTAATAAATAAATAAAAAAGTTTAAACCGGAAAATTAGAAAAAAAATTTAAACAAGGTTTTTTCCTTTTTCTCAATATTTCCCAGTCTACTTAAAATATATTTAAAATTTTACACGTACCTATGATGACCTAGAGAAGCAATTGAAATTTACAAATAGTATGTCTTTTTTTCTTGAGTTTATGATTATAACTATTTACTGATAAAAAATGGATATTAATCTTGAATTTAAGCTTATAAAGTAGCTCTCTCATAAACAAATAAAATAAAATGCGTTTTTAAGTTCCACCTTTGGAAATTTGATTTCCGAAATCTTTTGTGATCACCAATTTTTTTAAACATCTGAACCTTCGATCTCCGGAAACTTCCGGGTCACGGTTAGCGAAAAGTCCGGAAATCCGGATTTTTTCCGGAGCACAATCAGCCCTGCCAGTGTATCTGCTTATGTTATGCTTACCAGGTGATGTGTGAACAGCCTTATTGTTCAGGAATTATATCACTATGATTTTTTTTCTTAAAATTTACGCGACATTTTACCATTTATAAGAGTTTTCTATAATTTATAAATTCTAATAGATCGTGAGCCTAAAATAAATTGAAAAAAATTAATGTCGCAACATAAATGAAGTGTAAAATTTGCCACGTTTTGAGTGTTTTTCTTTATTTTGCTACAATTGTGTAAAATATTTCCCGTTGTTATTTTTTGGATAGCATCATAGAATGCTTTTGGAGTCTTCTGAATTCTTATATTATTTGTTTTGTAGAAAGTTAAATTGAAAGACTACATAATATTGAAAACACTACAAGTATAATTATATTGAATGGTGCGCTTTTCCAAGCTTAGGCGTAAAAATAGATCGGAAATAGTGACAGGGAAATCTTAAGACGAATTTTAACCCTTAGTGCTTAGCTTTCCACAGTCAACCATCTCTTCCATAATTTGAACTCATTTTATCTTTATTTTAGATTGATTGTACTGATCAGTGCATATTGATGTGGATACCCCCCATGAAGATTGCAAAATTCAAACTACAATCTCCTCTTCTTTCTCGACAATCTACTCGAGTAGACTTCTCTACTCGGGATATGTACCAAGTGCAATATTACGTGGGTCAACTCTCTTCACCTCTCGTCAAAAAGTGGAGCAAGGATTTCAACGTTGACTTTTACAAAGTGGGATCCTCTTTCCTAAACACTTTGAAAAAGGTTCTCATTTCGAGTACTGAATACAAAACTTCAACAGATTTTTCTACTGGATATTTGCCATGCAACACATTGTAAACAATTAAAGGTCTATGCTTCTGATACTGTTTTTGTATTTTATTTGCAAAAATCACTATCTAAGAAATCAAATTTATTTGATTTAAATCAAACTTTTTTTATTTTATTTAAATCAAATTTTTTTTTAATATTTACCAGCCAAATTATATGATAAAATTTGTTTGAGCTTAACGTCCTAAAATTTCAAAGACAAAGAGGCAATTTGTCAGTTAGATATCCAATGAATAGTAAATTAGTTTAAATCAGGGGTCCCCAACCCTATGCCTGCGGGCACCATGGCGCCCGTCGATCGATCTAGGTGCGCCCGCTGCTTGTGCTCAACGATAAAATATTTAAGTTTTCCATTTTCCCAATAAATGCTATGCAAATACATACTGAAGTACTCTGGCTCAGTAAAGGTAAAGTCCTTGATAGATTTCTACATTTAATTGGAGAAATAAAAAATTATCTTGCAACGAAAAATCAAAAATTTTTAGAACAAAGAGATCCTCTTTGGCTAGCAGATTTGTCTTTCATAACGGACATAAGGGAAAAACTAAATTATTTAAACTTGGAGCTGCAGGGAAAGGACAAACATAAAGCAAAAATGATAGAGGCTGTAAACTCGTTCAGAGCTAAGCTAGTTTTGTGGATATCACATTTGAAAATGAAGTCTCTTGTGCATTTTCCAAACATGAAAAAATTGATAGGTAACAGTGAAATTGACTTATTAACATTTGTCATCAACCTCCAATTGCTTAAAGATCAATTTAAA